GAATTTTTCTTGGCAATGAATGCATGCAAGCAAGAGATGTTTATGATCCTGGGAAAGACATTTGTCAGAGTTTGTTCTTAAATCAACACTTACCTTTTTTTGATTTTCTACTGTCTAGTGAGGTACAAATCCCTTATAAAGCTTTCCCCATAGTTGTGAGCATCTATTTCCAATGGTATCTTCATCGTGAAAAGCAGACTGTTGCTTCAGTTCCAGGGTAATTTTGTAAGAAAGTGAGTCCATTCAAAGACTTGAATCATGCTTCATTGATTATTGCTCTCAGAATTGGTTTATTGATGTTTTTGTTGTCCATCTCTTCTTTAAAGATATCTTAGTCATTAAACTGTTTGCTAGTTGCACACGTCCCACATCACTGTATATATACACTGTGCTAGTCAAAATGTTCTGGCAAGTCTTCAGAGAAGTATTTAGGAGAAACAGAGGCCCTTGGTGTATAGTTTTGTTTATTGATTCCTTTAATAACTCCTTCAAAGCATCTCTTACAGTTTAGAAATTACAGATTTAGCAAATTAAGCTCTTTCTCATGTATATGACAATGAATATTAATTACAAAAGCAGATGTTTGTGAGAAGAATATTTGCCTTCATTTTTAAAATTGTATATTCAAGACACACAAACTACAAGCTGTACTTTGTATCTGTTTTTCTTAAGTTGAAAAGTTTTTATTAAGTATATTTTTTAAAGTAACCCTTCCCCCTCTTTATTTTTAATAAGGGAACCACAGTAGTTCGAAAGGCAATCACCTGCATTTTAAGAATAGGTTATAGTCTCTGTTTTTCTGTGTCAAAAATATGTCCTATTTTCACCTAATTTGTTCTGGGATGGAGGTACTTTGTGACATATTTTTGTTGTTTCTACTTGTTCCATCGAAGCTGCTGTTGATTCAGCTTTGATTGAAACTACCTTTTAAAGTAGCCAGCATGCTTCCATTGCTCTCCTTTATTCCCTTGTTTAGTCATTTACTCAGCATATACATGCTGTGCATTTTTTCATTGGTGGTGGTGGTGCCGGATACAAATTCTTTTTCAGCCCATTCTTGTATTAGTGAGACTGGCTCTTCCCCATATTCTCATTTGTTGTCACAAATTTCACCTTGTAGAAGAAAATTCTGTGAGAATGGAAATAAAGCATCTAATTACTCCCCTCATTAAAATAATACACAATGAGAGTGATTAGTGCTGTGAGAAATAACAGTAGGTAAACATCTCTCAAAGCAATCCAAGCCAAGCTGGGAATAAAGCTCTTTAAAAAAAGTGTGATGCTTGTGTTAAAGAAAGAAAACAAAGCTGCATGAATTGGCTAGATAATGCTTATGCCAAGTGGCCTAATTTCTAGATACAGCCTTATTCACTCCCCTTTCATCCTTTCTTCAGGGACAAGAGCTGGTTAGTTTTGCAGTTTTTTAATACCCCAGTATGTTGTGGGTGCTGCTGTAGTCTAAATTGTGTAGATGTAATTGCAAAAACGATTCTTACAGATAAGAAAAATACACTCACTACATTTTCCACACTATTTCAAAATTTTAAATGAAAATCATATTTGATGTTTGTCTCCAGCAAAGAAATAATGAAGTATTAAGCCTGGGGCAGGCTTGTGTTTTCAGCTGAAGTAGCAAGGCTGAAACTTAAAGCAATCTTAAAAATTGAGTCCACAAGGTGTAGGTAGCTTGATTCCAAAAGCTTTGCTCTGGAGACTGTCTTCTGACATAAGATAGGATAAGTCATGGAGAGAAACAAAAAATGTTAGAAAAATGTGTTATAAATAGTTCAGAAAATATTGTTTTGAAATAGATTTAGAATTGGATATAAAGCCAGTGTAGAACATGAAGGAACAATGATTCCGTTTGTCTCACACCTAAGTGCATTTTAAGTGTGTGTTTTAAACTAATACGAGTTTCCACTTGGACTTGGAATTAGTTCTATGTTTGAGATACTTGGGTAAAATAGCATAAGGAGTTAGTAAGGAATAACTTTTTTGGGAGAAAATGAGAGTGGTTGTGTTTCCACAGATGAAGGATCTGTCGAGCCAGGCATCCCCTCACTATGGCAATTCTTTGTGGCACATGTCTAGGAAACTTTTGTGAAAACTTGCAAATCTTCAGCATTTGTGGCTGAGGAAACTCCTGCAACTGAGTTGATGGGTTTTCATATAGGAACTATATAATTTTTTCAACTTTAACTTCTTCACTAGCTTTCTGAACCCATGCAAGCTTTTAGTTAGCATCAATATATACATCTGTAGTTCTTGATTTAGAGTAAATGTATTTGAACACACACCCACACTGAACTGGTGCCCATTTTGTCTTTTGTTGTCCAGATATACTCCTGGAGGTAAAACCAGGACCAGAACAGGAGTTACAGTCCTGAGTGGACTTTCTATCAGGTCTGTACTCCATGCAATCAGTGGCTTCTTGTTTATTCCCTCTCCCTTTTTATTTAATAGTTAGCTTAATATTTTATTGATACAGATCCCATCAGGGTCTTTCATTGTTATGTAACGAACTCCTCTTTAATGAATTGTAGGTATTTGAAGTCCTCAATAACATTTCAGACTGTGTGGAAGGTGTTGCTTGCATGCAAGCTGCTAGTGACACATCATTTACGTTCTGCCCACCTAGAAAGGGAAGAGACCTTAATAATCAAAACAGAAACTATCCTTTTCCCTCCTTCAACACTTTCATGATAATTCAGTCAAAAAATTATGCAGGAAGGACCACTTGCACATACATTCCCGAGGAAGGAAAAAATAATGTTCTAGCAATGTGAGAATGAGAAGTCAAATGAGGGGAATGATATGTCGCATGTCAGATTTTTTTTCATTTTCATATCAGGTCAGCTATCAAAACTCAAATTTCCCCCCCTTTCTTTTAAACTTGATGTACTATGAATACAAGACAAAAGTTTTCTCAGTATATATGTTAGATAGACTCCTTTTATCAGGAAAGTTAATGTGTAGAGAAACTGGCAGAATGTGAATGTTTTTACAGAAAGTAAGGAAAATGTAAGTATCATAAAGATTTGACTGTAACCTGAGAAGTGCAAACTTCTCTCACTGCTCTTCAGAAATACCACCTACTTCTATAATTTCCTTGCTACTTTGTTGCTGATAATCAGGAATTAGAAGAACCCTCGTGTACTGCTATGATACAGACAGTGAACAGTCTGTGATACAAAGGAGGTATGTGAAATATTTAAGTTCTTATTCCCCTGTATGTCCTAACTATGCTCTAATACAGTGTGGATAAGATGCCTTTATTCTAAGACCACCAAAGGTTAAAAGCTACTGAAAACTCTATCCCATGAGTATCTCTGACAGGAATTCCTGTTTACATTATGAGAAGAAGAAATTGTTGAAACTGATTGTCGTAGTTTGACATAGTTTTTTTTTTTTGTTTTTTTTTTTTTTTTTTCATTATTTTGTTGTAACCAGCAATTGCTTTAAGTTCTCAGATCTCACAGCTCAACATTGTTGTGCAAGAAATAATGGTAGCACTCTTCATTAATTTCTTTTTAATCCGAAACTGCAGCAACATGGACAACCCACCTGGAAGCTAGTTCGGCCACAGGATGTTTAACTCTTTTCAGATAATTATTTTTTTGCCAAGTACTTCGTTTAGATTAGGCTTCTGCCTTTCAAAGTTTTCACAGATATCTGCAGTTTATTCCTTTGTAGAACAAAAGTGGTCTCCTGTGTGCAGTAGAAAGCTGTGGGGGTTTACAAAGATCCCTAATTAAAAACAGAATCACTGAATAAGCTGATTTGAAAGGGACTTGGAAGGGACCCACAGGGACCATTTAGTCCAACTCCTGGCCCTGCACAGGACCATCCCCCAGAATCACACCATGTGCCCAAGACTATGTCCAAATGCTTCCTGAGCTCTTATCAACCAGAAAGATAATTTTGTTCTAGTTACAGTGAAGTTCTTCTATAAGGGGTTGGATGTCTTGTTTCTTCCCTCAAATTCATGTTTTTTTAATTAAAAAATACAATACAAACCTGTCAAATTACACTGAATGTCAGTTCAGCAATTACTATTTGAAATAATTTTAACCTCATTAAAACAGAGGAAAGTTATGCTTAACAGAATTGCCAGCAATTACTCTTCTGAGGACATTACAGTAGGTTTGAACAAGAATAACTGTGTAACAGTACTGAAAGTAAATTCAAAGAATCATTACTGTTAACTTCAAGGATCTGGGTTTTATCCTAAGTGTAGAAGCTTGCTGAGAGAGTTAAAAAGAAAAGTATACCATGAGCCATCTCTAATTCATGTAGATATTTCTGTAGTTGTGGTGATTCAGCTTTTTATGTAACCATCTCATATGTTATTCTCACCAAACGATAAATTCAATTTCTGAATCACTTCAGTTATGTTTACTAGTTTCAATGCATTTTATTAGGCTTTATCATTCTGCCTGAGGAGAAGGAAACACTGTTTGTCTAACCTTATATATCAGTGTGGCTGCCTAAAAATCTGGAAACAACCCTGCTTTTAAACTAGGTATGCAAGTATTGTCCTGAGACTGGAATAACAAGTTTCCATTTTAAGCCTATTATACTGCTTTGGAAACCAGTGTATCCTGAGTACTAATGATAGCATTGATAGCAGCTCTTCTTGTGAAACTAAATTTTTGAAGTCTTTGGTTCTGAAAGCTTTGGATGCCTAATGGTGTTTTGAATCATGGTCAGAAGTCATTCTTAACACAATCCTTCTAAATTACTGTCTTCTAGTATAGGATAATTTCTGCCTAGTGATAGCTTTTCATTGATGTAATTTGTTAAGTGTTAAAATGTAATGTATGTTTGTTACTTGGCCCTGAATGTTTGACATTATATGGACGCCTAACAGCAGTATGCAAATACTCACATGACACATCTGTATTGTGAAAATGCTTTTTCAAATGGGTGAATAGGTGTTGTGGGGAGGATTGTTCTGTTTCTTTCTTACCAAGAATTCTTTTTGTTTATTTGTTTTTCAGATAATGGAGGACAAACTTTAGCAGGGGGGAATAACTGGCCACTGAGAGGGAGAAAATGGACCCTCTGGGAAGGAGGAGTGAGAGGTGTAGGCTTTGTTGCAAGTCCTTTGCTGAAACGAAAAGGTGTAGAAAGTCATGAACTCATCCATATCTCTGACTGGCTGCCAACGCTGGTGCACCTTGCTGGAGGACATACCAATGGCACTAAGCCTTTGGATGGCTTTGATGTTTGGAACACTATCAGGTAAGTTTCATGTCAAATCACCAAGTCATCGTTCTAGTATGAGAAGAATTTAATCAGCCCAGGAAACAGAACTGGAATAGGGAGGGAAATACTACCTGTTCCTTTCCCATAAAAAAGGGAGGGTATAAATGCAGTTAATGGTGCTGTCTATGAGAGAATTATCCAGGTTGCAAATTAATCCTGGTTGCAGATGCAAAGCCTTCATACAGCTTTAACTTGGTATTTTGAATTTTTCAGTACGAACACAACAGCTCACAAGCATGGTACATGTCTTCAAGAACATTCTGTGATCCCAGAGTATGTTAACTGATTTTGCACAGCATGGAGTATAAATTAGTAAATTTTATGGACCAAACCCTGCTCTCTACAGAGCTCAGTCAGGTGTCTCTGCAGTATGCATCTGGAATTGGACATATGGGAAATCCATGCAGACATTAAACTTACTGAACATGGATCCCACTTTGATGGTTTGTTAGCTCAGTACAGGACTTGTCAGGCTGGCTCACAGTGTAACCATTTGCACAGACCTGTCATGCTGTCCAGTGTGTCGAAAAGCCTTTGAGAGCAAGTACAAAAGTACACCTGACCTGGTTCCTGAAGGTCATGATGTTGTGACTGATTCAAGCAAGCTGAAATACTCAAAAGCACAGTGACCACATGCTTAGATCACTGGAAAAAGAGGAAGCATAGCTCCAGCTGGGTTATTTCAATGTTCTTTTATTCCACTAAAAAGGATTACAAAGTCCTTGAAGCCTAAGTTTCTTTAAAAGTTCTGTGACCAGCCTTTAGTTCTGCAAAAATTGTGTTGGTTTAAATTCCTTTGTTTCTTTGTTTTCTGTGCTGCATGTAATGTATTCATTGATAGGTCTAAATCCTGTTGTCTGTCTTCATATAAGTTATGTTTATTTTAGTAGGTCTTTGAAAATAGTTTTAATTCACATAAGAATAATTTAAAATGGAAAGTTCAATACTGCTAAAGCAGAATAAAAAGACTAACAATTCTATATCCTACACGCTATTCAGTGGAGGATTAGTGTTCTGTTTCTTTTGGTAGCCTTTGTTCTGCTTTTATAGCAGGTAGAGTATACCATATTATGCGTCACTTTTTGTAGCCTTCTTTTTTTGTGTGTCTTAGTGTCCTAAACTGTGAATTGCAAGTTAAAGGCAATTCCTAAACAAGCATGAGCAGGAGTGCTGTCTTGGTTAGGGACTGAGATGAGAAATTGAGAGTTAGAATAGGCAGATTTGAACCTGTGTACCAGTCCGTGGATCCATCTATATGGATCTTGGAGTGAAAAATAAAAAAACAAAACCAAACTGAACCCCCTACACCACCCCAGACCTAAACCCTGTATCTTGAGTTCAGAATTGTTTTGTCCATACCTGTCCATACCTGTTTGAATCTGGTAAGCTTGATTTCCTTCTTACAGTCGCCTGTGTTTCTGAAGAGCTAAGGGGTGGTTTTCTGCAGTAGCTGGAGTTTACAGGAAGCTCATGGCCTTGTGCCCAGGTGTACTGTATGACTCTCTTCCAAGTGGAGGAAGATACAGATATGTATAATTGAGGCCAAGGATCATTAACTGCCAGGAAGGAATGGAGACTCCCATCCAGCCAGAAAAAGTAAAATGCTTTACTTGTCAGTGTTCCTGTGAGGAAACTTAGCATCAGCAAGGTCCAGGGTACACCTAAACCATAGATTTTTCTTCCAGTTACCGTTAGAATTCCTGCATTCAGTAGAATTTGGGTTCAGTTTCAACCATGTATTCTTGCAATGGATTCATCTTCTCAGATCAGGTTACTTTAGCAGGAGAGTTGTTGAGAAGGATAGGTACAACTGTGCCAGCACACTGCTGACATTTGCATTTCTCCCTTTGTAAAGGGAATAATGCAATCTTTACTGGCATTGCCAGGGAACAGGTGACTACCAGTGTTTTAGGGTGTGTCAAAGAGAGGACCTCTGTCTGGACAGATAACTAGTCAGGTTTTCTAACTGTTAGGCTATTCCTTGGTTGACCTTGCAGCCAAAATGTCAAATTTCAAATGATTTTTCCATGTAATCAGGATAAATGAGTGTATTAAATTTCATGACCATAATTCAAAAGGTCACAAATATTGGATAGCAAACAATGAAGGCACAGTGCCCTTTTGGTGATATCTGACGAAAAGTTCAAGTATGTAGTTTTTCTGGGACCAAATGGCTCATAGTCAATGAAATTATAACTTGCAAAGATTCTAACTCACGGCTTTCAGTATGTTTTAAGAACTTTCCAAATCAGAAGAATGAGCTAACTGATTCTCATACCAGCACTGAAGTTAGGCCACATGCTTTGCCATTAAGCTGTTCTTACATAGAGGATTGTTTTGAAAAACAGCACCTTTTAACTGCTTAATTAAATAATAAGAACATATCTTAATTATTCTACCATCTGACAGGGTAGAATAATAACCAGACAATATAAAAAGTTCCTTATGTTTTGGGGAGGGATGACGTATTAGGATATTGAAGTCTAAAAATAAATATACTAAAATTAGAGCATTGTAAGACAAGGTTACCCAGGCTGTTAAAATACAAAGGCAGGTTTCCCTAGAGAATATTGTTGCTTTGTTATTGTGGCTCTCGTGGCTAGACTATTTTCCTGATGAAAAATACCCTTGCAGAACATCTGCCAAGGTGAATCTGTGTATCTGTGGAGTTTTGTAAATGGAAATGAGAGCAGAGTTAAGGCACTTCCAGGGAAACAGATCTCTGTTACAGTCATAAATTTCCTATCTGTTGTCCCCAGAATGTTGCTTCTGTTTTCCTGATTTTTTTACTGTGAGGCAGGTGGTTTTTTCAACATACAATGCCAAATTCTTTAGCTATTGTTTTGTGATATATGCTGGTTATGAATATCCATGCTCTGTACAACAAGAATTACTGGAGTAATACTCAAACTTAAAAGCAGCACTGTACTATGTAATAGCTCCACGGAGCTTAATGCAGTGATGTCATAAGCTTCAGGGAGTAAATCTCATGATTACATATAAATCACATCTGAGGTACTGTGAACAGTATTCTATCCCAGAACAAAAATGGATTCAATAATAATAATGGCAACTGCTGCATGAAAAACTTACATTAAAACAAGTATAATATTTATTTTTTGTATTCTATCAGCTGTAATGTAAATAGCCATGTTTAGTATATAATAGCCACTGTCCATGTTAGAATTTATAAAGGAAGTTACCTTCAGTCTGCTTGAATACTATGAATATGCTTGGTATAATCATAGACTCGTGGAATCATAGAATAGGCTGGTTGAAAGGGACCTTTAAAGGTCATCTAGGCCAGCTCTCATGCCTTAGACAGAGACATCTTCAACTAGATGAAGATGTCAGGTTGCTCTAAGTCCCTCCTGTGCTGGTACCCCAGAGCTGATGCAGCACTGCAGTGGGCTCTCAGCAGAGCAGAGGGGCAGAATCCCCCCCCCCGGCCCTGCTGGTCACTCAGCACTGTGTGGATACCGAGTGGCACTGTATGAATATTGACCCTATAAAGATGAGAAGTAAATAGGAGTAAGTTACTTAATTGTGCTGTATTTGACTCTGGTGGAAGATACTGGATTACTTAGCAAACTGTGGTGTTTTCTTTGTTTTAAAATATTCTGGAAAATGTAGATACAACTCAGAATTTGGAAGGAAACCTTCCCAGTTTTCGCAGTTACTGCAGAGTCAATCACAGGCTATAAATTTGAAACCTAGTTTAACTTTTGCTAACTGGTTCTTGTTACTGTTACCTATGAACAGATGGTGAAAGGCACTCTTGAACGCAGCTGTCAGTGGAGCACATAGAGTTTATTAAGTTTAAGATAAAATTCGTTTAAATAAGGCCAGGCGTTCTTAAATTAAGAGTGTGACTACTATATACACTGGGTGGGGGGGAGGCACAATTAACCTTTCACCCACATTTTGGAGAAAACATTTTTGTGGCAGTTTTTATATATTGAATTACTAACACTGTAGCTTAATTAATGTAATTCCTCTGTATTAATTACAATACTATATTACCTGAACACATTTAATCTTTTAGTTCTTCTTGATAGTTCTGTACTCACTCAAAATGTATCATCCAGAAATCTTTTTAGAAATGTAACAACAAAATATTATTTTGTTTGTTACTGCAGATTTTAAATTACAGATAAATACTGTTTAATGTATATTCTATATATTTAAATAACTGTATTTTTTTATGTCTCCAATGAGTTTTATATTACCTGAGTTTTTATTCTTAATGTCAAGAAGCTTAGGGGCCCTGGCTGAATTTTTGTGTCTTAAGTTAAGCTCCTTAATGAAAGACAAAACAATTTAAATTATTTGGAAATTTCTGAAAGTATGTATTTAGGTTCACTGTCAAATATAAATTATTGTCGTGTCTTTGTGTAGACACATTTCTTTCTAATTATGTCTTCTTACTCATTTTGCCCTCTAATAAGGAGTAAATTTAATGTACTCAGTTTTTTAGGTCTGGGATTTACTTAGCTAAGAAAATTTATGGGTAACTTGAGAGGCTTATTCCCTACCATCCCTATGTACTGAATGGCTAGAAAAAGAGGGATTCTTTTCTTTTTTAACACAACAAGATCCTAAGTATCTAAATAATCCTTGTGGCCTCAATTAGAAATCAAAAGCAGTTTTTTTGTGGGACAGCAATGCTTGTGGTGTTTTTTGAGGCACCCAGCCATAATGTGTCCAGCACTTGTTCAGGTAAGCAGAGAGCATAACAAGTGCTATGCCATCTTGTGCTGTGAAATTTGACTCTTAAAACTGGTTGTTGTAAAACCCTGCTTATGTAGGGCCAATTCTGTTATGAATGATCTAAATAAACACCACTGAAGTTAGGGAAAACTTGCAGAGGCAAAGGTTGTTACTGCTCAGTTGGAAAGGAGCATTCAGATTAAAGTTGATAGTAATCAATTTAAGGTTATGAGCTCACTCTCTATTAAGATGACAAAAAGCCTTAAAATAAAGGATGCAGAATCCTAATGAGCTATAGGAGGTAATTAATATTTTCTTTTGAAATCTCTCTTAGTGAAGGAAGACCTTCTCCCAGAGTGGAACTGCTGCATAACATAGACCCCATGTTTGTGGATGATTTCCCATGTGAGTATGCTCAAGATTTATTAAATGTACAGTTTACCTTCTGAACACTTCTTGTCTTCTGTAAGTGAAGTATTTTCTTCCAGGTGAAACAAAATACAGTAGAATGCCTTTTGCTTTTAAGTAAATAGCTTTAAAATACAGAAACATCATCCCCTGGATGGTGTAAGTTCTTAAATGTGATCAGCATGGGCTTTCCATTTCAGAGAGCTCTGAAACACTGCTGAGTAATGAATAAAGTACTTTGGGACATGGAAATGTTGAGGAGCAGCTGTGTGCCTGAGGTGCACAGTGAGGCACGCTGCCAACAACTCTTTCCAAACCCTCTCTCCAGACTTCCAAATGAACTGCTCGCCCTAATACATCTTGATACAACTGTATAATATGACCTTGCAAATGGAAACCTTGAGTTTGTTTGGAGCTGAGAAGTTCCAAGCTGCGTGATTGCTTTTGTTCCTTAATCATGTGGGTTGGATCCTTAATGCCACAATCACATGAATTGGAGCTGAACTTTGCTAATTCTATAGCTCTTTTTAAGCACCATCTGTTTTATGATTCAACATTACTAGTTTGCTAAGGACTACAAGCTTTTCAGGCAGACATTTTTTTCATATAGAACATTGGAACAGGTCCTTTCCAGTGTTTTTATAGCATTTCTGTATTTCATTATATAAAGACGTAAATCCAGGCAGAGAAAAAGTAGTGCAATGGAGACACTGATCTGTTGCCTGCAAGACAAATACACATTGTGCTGCAATAACTGGATGGAAATGGGTAAGGTGGACTTTTGCAATGCACATCTGGTTCTGCGATGCTTTTTGGAGAAGTAGCAACATTGTGCCTATCTAATGCTGACTGAGCAGCACTGCCTGCAGATAGTTCCTACATACTGATTGAATTTAGGTGTAGCTACTCCAATTTCCCTTAAAATATGCTTAGTGAGTCGTAGGATTCCTGTACAATGTTATTCCTGGGTGAAGTATTCTCAGGCCTACTTCAGAGACCATCTTTTCCTTGTGGGAATGGCTGGTGATTGAGTTGTTTGAATAGACAAATTCCTGGAGTAAGCAGAAGGGGGACAAGCAAAGGAGGTTTTCAGGAATCTGAGCTCTTAGCAAATGTGGCCCCAAACCGCTTCCATGATGCCATGCTCTGATGATCATTCACTGTTTGCTGCATGTGTCATGTCCTTCCTTGTGTGCATTGCGTGAAATGTGAGCAAGAAGTGGGGCTGGGGGACAGAAGCTGTGGTAGGTGCAACTCTTATACTGCATAAGATGCAGTTTTTAAGAATCATGGACAGAGGAAGTTCTATGCATGCCTGTAAATTTACAATGTTTTTATGTGCCTTTCAAAACTGCAGTAATTAAAAACAAAAACTGAACTCTTCGCCAGCACATTCTTATGCACCATATAGAGTATCCCTGTCTCTTCTCAGCAAAGGCCTATTCTTTCAGAAAATTACTTTGTGCCTCCTAGTGAAATTATGCTTCGTCATGTAAGGATTAAAATATCTATTTAGCAGCCTGAGTTATTAGGCGTAATTGGATATGTATGTAAGTCGGCTGATTTTTACTTACTGTTTTTCATTTCTTGAAACTGAATAATAAGTTTAGAATTAGTATCTAGAAAAATTATGCTAGTGTCTCTATTATGGATAGATTAGTGAGACACAAAATTTGGAATGTACAAGCACTTTCAGATTTTCAGCAATCCTGATTATCTTCACGTTTTGTTGCTTCCTTTTTTTTTTTTTTTTTTTTTTTTTAATTTAAGTATCCTAAACTGTCCATGCACTCTTCTTGTCACTGAGATGATTAACTGTGTCACCTTGGAGTCTTGCTCTTTCCTTGACTGTTTATCGTTTCCGTGTCCTAACTGTTTTGATATTTGATTACTCTTTTGTCTATATTGCTAAAATACATGTTTGCATGTTTTGCTGTGTTCTTTCTAAACTCCTGCATAACCTTTTAGCCTCTTCTTGCATATTTTGCTCTTGTCCTAGTCTGCTTTGAAAAATCACATCACCTAAATCATCTGATGTCAGATGAAGTATTCCTATTATACTAATACTTTGTTTTTTATAGAAATTTGATTTAGAAAGTGAAATAATAACTGTAACATAAGATTAGCCAAATCTTTGGGTTTGCAGAGTACTGTAAAACAGCAAATAGGCAATGAATTATCAAGATTCTATTAAATTTAACAAAAAAAAAGACTTTTCAGGTTGTTGTGGTTTATCAGGCGAGAAGACGGAGCTGTTGTAGTTGGGCACATGTAGAGCATTAAGTTACTATTTTACCTGACTCAGGGCAGGTTCAGTGTTCCTGAACTCCTGAATAGTTTTGTCTATAATGTATACATTCTTTCACCATAATGTCTTTTTATTTAATGGATGCATTTATCTTAATCTCTATCAGAAAAAAACGGATTATATATCTATATATATTTGGTAGCATGAATGGTGGTATGCCTTATGTAATTAATAGGGTTTTTTAACTGAAATAGGAAAACTGAGCTTTGTTCTGTTCAGCTTTTTTACACCAAAATAAGCACTCCTTCAGGGAAGAATTTGTGCAAAAGACATTAATTAGTTTAGTGACAAGTCAACTGTTACAGCCAAGTCTTCAACAGAATGTTAAGTAAAAGTAATAAGACATAGTGTCTTGATTACAGAGCTAGCAACATCTCTGCTGCTGTGGTCTGTTAGAACTGACCTTGGGCTATGTGTTTATTTACCATTTGTGGGGTAACAGTGTATAACTTTTCAGCTTCTCAGCACTGGTTTCTGATCTCTGAACATCAGCCAGGATTACTCCAGCACATCTGATAAATCTGCTGATGAGCATCTGCTTACCTTTTTTCAGGACCCGATGTCCTGTGGCAAACACTGTAACCCTGCAGTGGTCTTGTATCAAATACTGCACTTCTCCTATTGTTAATAATAAAGAGCACAAGAGGAAAAACACTGTAAAATAGTTTACCTGCAGTTCCATTTTACAAAAAAATGCTCAGGTCTTATTTCACTGACTCCTTCAAGTAGATCATCTTTCTCAGAAGGCAGACTTCCTTCATTCAAATATAAACTTTTCCTGTGGTCTGACGCACATGGGCAGTGTTTTAAACTTCTTTTTTTTTTTTTAATCATTAGCGCTAAAAAAGGCGTTAGTGCTTCCTCTCCCTGGCCACAGACCTTATCTGTAGCCTCCCAATGACTTGTGGCAGACCAGTGGAGTGCTTGGGGTTAAAAACAAGCTTTTTCTGAACAAACTGGTCTGGTTTGTGGTGCAGACCTGCAACTATTGTGCTTATGTAAGAGCATACAGTGGAATGAAAAACTAGAATGGGATCTCCAAAACTAGGATGAGGAGAGGGGTGCATTGTGGTCTTTGGGGGCTGCAAAGCTGGTCTGGGGGTGAGCTATTGCCTAGCTGGCCAGCCTGTCTTCTCCCTTTCCTCTATCCTTCCTGCTTCACTTGTGTTAGATGTAGAAATCACATGGTAACAAGATGAGTTTTCTGCTAGATCAGCTTTCAGATTGTTTTGGGTAGCCAGTCAAAAGAGGAGGAAAGGTTTCTACCACATCAGTGAGCTGAACCAACCTGCCCTGTAGCTGTGTGATGGGGAGCAGAGGATCTGTGTGTGGTTGGTAGCAGATGGAGGGTCTGGCCACAGGAGTCACTAGCTAAGATCGGCTCTGACCATGTGGGGAGCCTCATCCAGAGGCAGTAGTTTCATGGAGTTTAAGCTAGTAGGTTGCTGCTACCACAGAGGATATCCTGCCTCCCACAGTGCCTCACCACTGCTCCCCTTTCTCATGGGTCACCAAAACTACTCACAAAGCCAGGTTATGAACCAGGTCAGGATACTGGTTCAGATTTTAATAAGCCCTTTTTTTCCCCGCTTCTGGATGTATGCTCGGTACCCAAGTACTCATTTTGGCATAAAGACTGGGACTAGAAGGAGTTTTGAGGGACAAGTGAGACTGATTATTTTGGCTCTGAAATTAAACCCTGAGGTTTCTGTTTCATGGTACATGATTAAGTGATTCAACAGGTTTCTGCTGGGGTGGTGCTTTACTTTCTCCCCTCCCCTTTCCCAGCCACATGCTCTTAGTGCTTATTTTGCATACATTTTGGCACTTCTGGAATACCTCTGTGAACTGATCCAGCTTGCTAGCCTGGTTTTCCTCTGTCATGTGGGTTGAATCTGCACATTGGAGGGGCTGATGGATGCCAGCGGTAACCCAAGGCAGGGGCAAGGAGGGTGTGTGGTTGGAAGAGGGGAGGCAGAGGGGGAGGCAACCCTCCTAGTACTGTCTGGCTGCTTCTGGAACAGGAACCCCTCAGGGAAGGAGTGAGAAACCACATCTTCTGGCTGAGCCTTGCTGTGCTAGACCAGTCGGGTGAGCTCTGCAGATGGAGCTGGACCCACACACCTCAGAGGTGATTGCTCCTCTGCCTCCCTGCTAAAAGCCATTACTTTCATCTTCCTGGTTGTTTCTTCATCACATTGTTGATTGTCTTCAGAAGTGATGAATGTGTGTCTCAATTGCTTGATCTCAATGTAGATTTGTAGTTTATTAGAGAGTTTAAAATTATGTAAATTTGCTATGAAAAATCTACTGTCTTTCAGGTTTGGGTCTGGAACATCCACATTTTCTGTTAGCTTTAAAGATTCAGTAATAAATTAGGAAAATTAAAAACCGGAAGCTGAAATTATGTTGAGAGTATATGTTTCTCTGTAATGTAGAGGTTAAGAAAGCACAAATAAAAACATAAAGTAGCTTAAAAATGCTTAAGTAAAAAAAAAACTGATTTGAAGAGAAAAGAAACAAAATTGTTTTGCCCCATTTTTTGAATTTATCCTTAAAAATAAAATATAGCCAAGTTGTTGATGGTTTGGCAGCTGTGGGGATGACATCAGCTCCTCCATTGTGAAAGATCTCCTGTCTTTTAAGCAGCCTTACGGCATTTCATCAAGTTTTGGTGATTCAGCTAAAT